TCCCATAATGCCTGATGAGTTTGGAGAACACCTGACAAGAGATCAGAGACCATTCCTTCATCCAGAATCTCTTCAGAACCTTCAGATTCCTAGCTCCCTGTTGGTGGTTCTCCTTTTCAGTTCACCCCACTCGTTTTCTATAGGGCTCAGGTCGGGGAACTGGGACGGCCATGGCAGAAGCTTTATTTTGTGCTCAGTGACACATTTTTGTCTTGATTTTGATGTTTGTTTTGGATCATTGTCTTGATGGAAGATCCAATCAAGGCCCATTATAAGATTTAACAGAGTCAGTCAGGTTTAGATTTTTATCTGTTGGTGTTTTATAGAATCCTTTATGCCATGTATCTGAACAAGATATCTGGGACCCCCTGCAGAAAAATAGGCCCACAACATTAAAGATCCAGCAGTATACTGTGGGCATAGGGTACTTTTTATCCCTGTTTTCACCAAACCCATCTGTTGGGTTTGCTGCCAAAAAGCAATTTTTTTAAAGTTTCATCTGACCATAGAAGGCATTGAAATTCCAGTCGTGTCTGACAACTAAATATGCTGGAGTTTGTTTTTGGATGAGCAAGGAGGATTTTTCCTGAAACCCTCTCGAAAAACATGTGGTGATAGGGGCTGTTTGATATTTTTTTAGGCTTTCTGACCCCAAGACTCAACTAATCTCTACAATTCTCCAACTGTGATCCTTGGAGAGTCTTTGGCCGCTCAAACTCTCCTCCTCACCATGCATTAGGACGAGACACACGTCCTCTTCCAGGCAGATTTGTAACATCTTTAGTTGATTGGAACTTCTTAATTATTGCCCTGATGGTGAAAATGGGGATTTTCAATGCTTTAGCTATTTTCTAACAGCCACTTTCTATTTTGTGAAGCTCAACAATCTTGTACTGCACAACAGAACTATATTCTTTGGTTTTACTGCTTGTGATGGATGATTAAGGAATTTGGCGTTTGTGTTCCTTATATTTAAAATCCTGTGGAACAGGAAGTCATGGCTGGACAAATGCATGCTCCTAGTCACCCTGGTGTGCAAATTTTTTTTAAATATGAATGGGAACATGCTTCAGAGAATTTTTACTCATAAGAATGTCTAGGGGTGCCAATAATTGTGGCCAACATGCATTGGAGGAAAAGCATTTATTTCATAATGTGAGTTTCCCCCCACTTGCAATTGTTTTAGTTCAATGAAAGGTTAGAATTTTGTGAATGAAAGATCAAAAAGATAAACGATGCAGATTTATTTTCACAGCTGCCTTTGCTCATATTTACCAAGGAAGGGTGCCAATATTAGTGGAGGGCACTGTATATCCACCTTTTTGGATTTTTTTTTTTTTTTTAAATTCTGTTCACTGCAGCTTTTTATCCTGCAAATTTGGTCTAATTTGCTTCTATATTTGGTCAGATGATCTTTAAACCAGGCTTGAATAATGTTGAATAATAAATTTTATTGTCGAATAATGACTTTTAAGACATTAACTGCATACATTTAGTTTTAAATTTTTATAATTGTTTATTTATTTATTACAAAACTTAATAAAAATTAAACTGAATTATAATTTTGTCACTGGATCTTTATTATGTTACTTTTTTGTATACTTTATGTGTTGCATACGCACACGCACACGCACACACACACACACACACACACACACACAAGGGGAAGTTAATGTCTTAGATTAAAGATTACAAAGGCACATTAATTAAAAAATTATGTGCACAGATCATTTACAATAAAAACTGCAACATTCTATAAAAATAAGAATTGTCTGTAACACTTTATAATAACTTTCATTAATAAATCATTAACAAACATTATATAATGCTTAATGGATCATTAGTTAATATATATTCAAAGAGTTAGAAACAGAGATAATGTGCTTGTCAATGTTTACTAATAAACTTATTGAACATTCGATAATGTTAAAACAAATCATTATTTCATATAAGTTAAAATGCTTACAAATGTCATTAAACTTGGTTAAAGTGTCAACAGTGTACAGGGGTCAATTTATAATGGAATACGGTTCAATCTTATATTATATTGGTTTGATAAATTAACAAGTATTTTCTTAAAAAAAATTATTTGTTTTCCCCTGTTTATTTATGGCCACAGCCATATCACCCTGCAGCCCAAGACTGGTTGCCCACTGAAGCTAAGCAGGGTTGAGCCTGGTCAGTACCTGGATGGGAGACCTCCTGGGAAAACTAGGTTGCTGTTGAAAGAGGGGTTAGTGAGGCCAGCAGGGGGTGCTCACCCTGTGGTCTGTGTGGGTCGTAACGCCCCAGTTTAGTGACGGGGACACTATACTGTCAAAAAAAGCACC